TTGGTCGTGATGGCTGGCGCGCGGCCCCTCTGTCACGACCTGATGGGAGGGGCGTCCTGCATGCGGAGGCGCGTGAGGCGCAACATACGGACACAAGCGAAGCCGCCTCTACGCCCCCTTGCACCCTCCTCCCCCCCCCCTCCCACACACACACACGCGCGAAGGCACACTTGCACACGCACATCACACACACACACACACACACACATCACACAAACACATCACACACGTGCCCTCCCTGTTCCCAGGTCTTCAACAATTGCCTGGTCAACTCGGGCAAGACCCCTGCCGGCACACCCATCCCCGCCGCCGCCGGCGCCGGCGCGTGAGGCTCACCGCCACCTGCGCAATGCGGAGCTGCGGCATGGCTCGACCCCATGCGGCGCGACGCCCGGGCGGCTGAGGGGGAGTGCCCAGTGGGAATGACGGCTCGCGGGAGGGGGGGGGCGAGCGCAGCCGGGCGGCTGCGGCGCGCCTCAGACGGTTACTGAGGCTGGCTTCGATTATAGCTTCGATCATAGCTTGGGAGCGGAGGCGGCATTTCCCTACCAAGTCCTCATGCCAAGCCCATTACTGAACTGTTGCGTAGGTAATCTTGGAGGCGCGAAGCGCGCCCCGCCTGCACGGGCTGTTTTTGTTTCGTACGCCACCACTGGCGTCGTTTTTGTCCCGCAGCCACCACGCCGGGCAGCGGCATCGGATCACTGCTGTAACGTTCTCTATCTGTCCGTTCGATTTGCTGAGGCCGCGGCGGGAGTTGCTGGGTGAGCACCCATCACCCAAGGGACAGGCGCTCAGGCGCTGCGCGAAGCCTATTGTGCGACCTGCGTGTTGGCAGCCAACCACCCAGAAACCTGTGTCTCTGGGACTTGTGTAAAGGGGTTTGGGGGAGGGAGCGTGAGGCTCGCGCCTGGCGGCTGGGTGTGGAGGTTGCACCTGGTCAGCAGCACGTTGCCGCAGGGGTGAGACGGCACCCGGCCACCCTGCTGCAGCCAGCTGCTGAGCTCGCGGCATGGGCGCCAAACTCGGGCCGGCAGCGCGAGGGCTACACAGCAGCCTTCAGCAGGCGCAACCCCCCTCACATCTTGCAAGCCTGCATAGTACCACCTTGACACAAGCAGCCAGCCAGACAAGCAAACAATGCTGCAAGCTCCAGGGACAAATACCACCTGCGCTGACGAGCCGCTTCGACTGTAGCCCGCCCACGGCCAGATTGGGCTGCGCAGCGCCGCAGCAGATCAGCCGCCAACAGCGGGCTGCACAGTCAGCACCCGGCAGCCGTGGCACCTTCCTCGGTTGCCGCATTGCAGGACTGGGCCTCTCCCTGGTCTGCGCGCGCCCTGCCCGCCCCTCTGAAACGTTTTTGCGCAGCCATCTTTGCAGCCTGCCGTGCCTCAGAGCTTGGTAAGCGGTGGTCCCATCTGGAAGGCTTTCCTCCCGCTGCGCCAATGCTTGAACTTCTCATAGGGCTGGTGGCCACTGACCTGTTGTCCTGGCCGTGGCAGGAGTGTGACTGGCGTCTCTGCCTAAGGTTCCTTCGGGGCGCCCCTAGTGAGGCTGGCGAATGGACATCACTGCACCAAGCGACGCTTTTGAAGAGTTGCTATACAACCCTTGCCGCGTTCTGCCTTCCGCTCCACTCCTCCAACCGCGTTGCCACTTGCCGCCCCCCCAAATGTGCTGGCTGCCGCCACGGCTGGAGCGTCGTCGCTGCCGCTTGGGGCCATGCTAGACATTCTTGGCACGGCAGGGCACGTACCCACAGAGGCGGAGCGCACCGGTGGCTGCGGGCAGCGGCCCCCGCGTTGGCGACGGCGGCGCTCACGCTGCGGGTTCTGGCCGGGACGTCATGTTTGCATCTGCTCTGCGCGCGGCCGCAATGCTCACCCGATGAGGCCGCCTGGTTGCGGCGTGACAAGCATGCAGGGCGGGGCGCCCAAGGGATGACATCAGCGCTGAGCTGGCGTGCCTGAGCTAACCCACGTTAACGGACACTGGCACGGTACCATCACAGAGCAAGGGCGTGCCGTGGGTAAGGGGGAGAGGGAGGGAGCGGAGGGCGAATGCCCTGAGGCCCAACCGATGGAGCGCCTGCACGTGAGCAGGTGGGCAAAAGCTCAGGCGTTTGCGTTGTTGCGCCGCCTGCGATCAGAGGGTGCTCGTAGATTGCCAGTGATGCAACTGGTGCAATGTTCGCTGCTCAGCGCATGCCTCCTTGCTGCCGGTGGATGTAGAGGACGCACATTTGCTGCCTTGATCAGCAAGCTTGACACGCACGCATGCATGGTGACCTGCACATGCCGCATGGCAGCAGGCTGTGCATGGTACCGTACCATGTGTCGCAATTAATTACACTACTTAATCAGCTTGACATCGTATATTGAAAGCTGTCCGATCGCGCTCACAGTGACAGCGTGCCGCGCGCAGCAATCAGCAGCAATAGGACTTGATCCGGAGCGAATCAATCGAGGAAGATGGTGTTGAACGCGTGGCAGGTATGCCGAGGCTGCAATTGCTCTGCTGCCTGGCCAGCGACAGTGCTGAGGGCGACGTGCCGGCCGCACTGCGAGCTGCCCCGCCTGCACCCACACAAACAGCGCCGCATCCGTGGCGCCCGCCAACCACCACCAGACTGCCGTGGCGGTGGCGGGCAGCGTGGTGGGCGCCGCGGCGCTGCTATGGCCGCTGGGCATCTGGTACGAGGTGAGGCGGACTCCTGCAGTCCGTCATGCAGGCAGCCAAGGCACCCGCAGCGCTGAGCATGCGCAGCAGCAGCTGCGCCGTGCGCAACACACGGCTCGTGCCCCCCTTCATCGCGTACATGAAAGACCCTTCTACACGTGTTTTTGACAGTTGAATTAAACTTTCAACACCGTAGGTGCGCAAGTGTGAGAAGCCTAAGTACGTCGTCGTACGGGCCCTGGCCAGGTGAATGGGTGGGGGGGGGGGGCGCGAGTTGCGAGGGGTTGGGGCCGCTCCTTGGGCGGAGAGCTCCCCGGGCGAGGGCGGCAGCCAGCCCCGCCTCAGCCCCTCACGCTTGGGAGCCCATTTGGCGCCGGTGTGCCATCCGCGGCAAACGGCGGGTTGAGGTGGGGATGCGCGGTGAAGCGGCGGCTTGAGATGCCCATTCAGCGGCTGTGCCAAGCCCATCCTTGGTTTCGACCTGGCAGGCACTCCTGGCGTGACCAGTACCACAACAACGCAAACACCAAAAGTCTTCTGCTTCATGGCACAAAGTGCTTCACACATTGCCAACAACGTCTTCTGCCCACCCGCCGTTTTACTTTGCTGCCCCGCCTCTTTTGCCCGCCGCAGCGCCGCGGGCGACAGGCGCAGGTTCCGGCTGGGACTGGGGCAGCGCGCGGAGCTCCGGCGGTATGCGCCCATGCTGGTGGCTGAGGTGGAAGTCGAGGGCACGATGAAGGTGCCCAGCACCGCGAGGCCCCCCGCACCTTGCCTGCCGCACCCCCTCGCTGTGCCGCTGTTGCGCGTTCGCCCCAGCTCTGGTTTTGGCAGATCATCCCTAGAACTTTCGACGTGATTTGTGCTTTTTTGTGCACGCGATCGTGCATGGCGCAGGGATTGTGCCCCGTGTCTCCAATGGCTCGTGCCGGCATGCACAAGCATGCATGCGCACCTCCCTGCATGTCAAGGCACTCCCGCGCTGGCCTTTTGCAGGAGGCCTCTTCCGGCGGTTTCCGCAAGATCGCGCGTTTCATCTTTGGAGGGAACACGCGCCCAGACGGTGCAGGGGCGGGGGAGGCGGTGGCGATGACGTCACCTGTGAGGCAGGAGCTAATGGTGGGCCTGCACCGCGCGCGTTGTATCATGCGCGCGTGTGTTTCCGTGTGTGTAGATTGTTTTGTCTTGGTGTGCACGTCGGGTGTGCCTGCACATGTATACAGGGTGCCGGCAGCCCACTGTTCCATCGGCTCCAAGATCAGCTTTGTGTGCGATGGGGCCAGCAGGCATGGTCGCAACCCACGCCCTCATCCCCCCAAACCGCTACCCCTGCCCGCAGGGTCCCTCGCAGCCCATTGCAATGACGTCACCCGTGGTGAGGACGCGCGCTCACCAGCTTGCACCCTTTGCCGCAGCCTGCAGCGCTGGTCGCCTAGCCTGGACCCAAGCACGTGGCTTAGTCCCCAGGTTTTGCCGCCTGAAGCCCCGGCTGCCCTTGACACCCGTTTGGGGGTGTGTCGCCACCCAACTTGCATAACAGGAATCAACACCCTAGTGCTCCATTCCGACCCTGACACCAGGTGATGGCGATGGCGGGCAGTGAGTCGCTGCCAGCCGAGGCGTCCGGCAAAGTGCGGATGTCCTTCGTGATGCCCTCGTGAGTGCCCCCGCTATGGCCTGGGCGGGCGCGAAGAGGAAGCGTTGGCCTTTGATTGGCATTGGTGGGGCCCTGCCTGTGTTGGCCGGCCAGCGGGGCAAGGCTGTTGGCCGGCGCATGGGGCAGGTGCCCAGCTGGCTTTGAGGCCCTGACACACAGAGCCAAAGTTGCACCTTGCCTCGCAATCCCATCACAGCACTCCGTTCCAATGCTCAGCCCATTCGTCTTGTGTCAGCTACAATGCTAATGGGCCCTGTGGGTTGCAATTTGGGAGCTTGCGCTGTTGCCTGTCGCTCTTCCCACTTCTGCGTGCAACCCCTCATCCTCATGTTCACTCCAACCCCCTCACCCCATTATGCACATCTTCCCCGGGGAGCCCACCCCTGCACCCCCTGCACCCCCTGATTCCCGGCCCTGCCCCCTTTTAACCCCTCCCCAGTATCACCGCACTTCACCTCACCCCTTCACCACCCACCCCTGCACTCCCCACCCCCCCAGGCAGTACACTAAGGACACACTGCCGCGCCCCAACGACGCTTCTGTTGAGATTAAGGAGGTGAGATCCGCCCTCCCCGCACCCGCGCGTGCGCACGCGACGAAAAACAGTTCACTGCTTCTTTTGTGCCGCATTTTGGGGCGCGAGGCAACTCGCAGTGTGTCGTGCTGGGCTTTGAGGGGGAGCTGGGCACTACTGCAGGCCGGGCCTTTGCTTGACAGCGTAACCCCCTCTGCTAATCCGGCCCCGCCGCGTGCGGCTCGAGCTGCCATGTACGGCGGTGGCCACGGGCTGTCCACCTCCGCCTGCGCGCCTCTTTGCTTTATCAGGTCCCGGCGCACACGGTGGCGGCGCTGACGTTCCGGGGGCACGTCAGGGGGCGCAAGGTGGTGGAGGAGCGTAAGCAGCAGCTGCTGCAGATCATGGAGGTGGGGAGCTGTGCGGGTTTGGGGTTTAGGGGTTGGGGACGACATGGTTCAGGGCTTGAAAGCCACTGCAGTGTGTGTGCACGCGCGTGTGCATGAATCTCACGCATGAGTGGATGAGTACCTGCATGAGCTTGCCTGTGGGACGTTGCTGTGTGGTTTTTGGGGGCGGGGTGGCATGTGGGTTTCAGGAGTAAAGACTGCAGGTGCAGCAGGCAAGGGTCGATTAGAGAGATCTCGTTGACGTTGGAGCCGTTGGCTTGAGAGTTGTCGATTGTTGGAAGGGTTGCCTGCCGTCCTGCGATGCCCGCTTCAACCCTTTTCACCATTGGCACAGGGCTGTGCTCGCAGCCTCGCTCGTCCGTTCCCTCCCGCGCCCACTCGCGCCCCGCCTCGCTTCGTCATCATGTCACAGGCGGAGGGCCTGGTGCCGCAGGGCAACGTCGTGCTCAATCAGTACCACCCCCCCTTCACCTACGGCTGGCAGCGCGTCAACGAGGTCTGCTTCGAGGTCAGGGAGTGACGGGGCAGTACGCCACCAGGTTCCGCAGCCGATGACGTCACTGTGATGTCACATCGACGGCGTCGGCGGCGGCTCGTACCGACGGATGGATGCGGCGCCCGATGAGTGGCGAATTTCGGGATGTCGCGACTCTGGTGCGCAGCTGAGGGTTTAGGGTGCGCGTCGCCCCTAATCTCTTGTTGGGTTGCCACTGTCACAGCGCGCGTAGCCAAATTTTCCCTCATACTTCTGAGCTGGTGGTGGCTGTGCCCTACAGGAGTAGGGCGCAACAGACAATCTGTAGTATTCTGTCTGCCGTCGCTCTGCATGGCTGTGTACCTTCCAACCTCCTTGTGGCTGCCGCCCGCTTTTGTTGCTTCGAGTCTGCTACCAGGGTGTGACACGTGATTGTTGTTGTTTAGAATGCAGGTTTATGAAGCCGTCAGCCGCATGAAAAGGTGCACCGACATTGCTGCAACCTGCGTTGCCGCGTCATGTTCCCATCGTAGCAAATGTCCAGGGCCACCTCGTTTCATGTCGCTGCCTCGTGAGACGCAACTACCCCTGCAGACGAGTACCCCCAGCGGCGATGCAGCTCGTGCGGCTGTGCTTGCCACCGACCATGCTTTCAAGAGTGCTGCCTGGTGAAGTCAGTAGTTCCACAAGATTACATCCAAGCGGTGTGTAGCGCATGCTTCCATTGTCTGAACTCAACACTGTTGCCTGCACAGATGCTGCTCAGCGCCAGCCTTCAACACAACCGTCAACACCAGAAAACAGAGGGACAGATACTGCTTCAATGAAAAGGACAAGGCATCGTGCACACGTAGTCTCCAAAAATCACAACGAAGCAGGGTTTTGCAGCCAGCAGGCTCAGCAAGTGGTCGGCAACAAAGGCACACATGCTGCTGCTGTCCCGAGAGGGGCCGCGGGCGGTATGGTGGCGGTGTTGGTCATCTGCTCTTAGGGCGCTGAGCAGTGCCTGGATAAACAGTTGAGTGCAGTACACCATCCTCTCACCCCCTCCCGCCTGACTCTTTGTGCGGTGATCCCCACTTGTAGTACTGTGCACGCGCAAACTTGACCAGAGCGTGCAGAGAGTCGGGCGAAGTTGGTGCTTTTCAAATCGCACTGGTCAGTAGAATGCACTAGTCAACAGATGGAATGCGGCGCCTTTGCCTGTCACAAACCCTCAGCTCAGCTTTGTCGTCTAGTAGGAAGCTGCATTCAGGGCTAGCGAAAAAATCGGTGAGAATCAGAAGTCAGTGCTTGTAAGGAGATAGTGCAGATAAGGAGTCAATGTGAATAGGAAGTCGCTTGCTGATGTGTCCTTAACTGTTCCAGCCAAAGACCACGCCATCCCTGGGGCTGGCACGACAAGGTCGGTCTGGTTGGTGAAGTGCCCAGCACTCAGAGGCCCCCAAAGCCGCGTGTCCAGAGACCGCCAGGCGGCATCGGCCCCTGACCACCAGGCATGGGCCCGGCATACCCGGGCCCGGGCCCGCCGTACGCCCCCAACTGGGGCGACCCCGGGACGCCGGGCCAGGGATGGGGGCTGCATGCGCCGGCCGGGGGCGGTGACGGGGGCTGCGGCGGCAGCCTGTGCTGCGGCCGTACGACCCTGACCCCGGGCTCCACGAGCACAGGCTGCCCGCCGCCGAGGCCAGCAGGGGATCCGAACGTGCTTAGAAAGTTGTACTGCGGCACCATCTGAGGCGGCTGCGGCGGAGCCGCCCAGGCCTGCTGCTGGGGCGGTGCGCGGCGGCCCACGGCGTGCGTTTGGGCGTGCGCCCATGCCTGTGGCTGTTGCTGCTGCTGCTGCCGCTGCTGCTGCGACAGCGCTGGAGGCGGCAGGGGTGTCGCGGCCGCCTGTGACGGCGGCGCAGACCATGGCCACCCCGTCCACGGCAGTGAGCCGCCAGAGTTAGGCTCTGGCCAGTGCGGCAGCTCCCCTTCCGGCAGCGGCGGGCATGCCGCCACGCCGCCCGCGCCCGCGGCGCCAGCGGCGGGCGGCGGCTGGGTCTGGGCGGCGCCGGGGTTTGGGGGGCACAGCAGCTTCTCGCGCTCCTTCTGCGCCCTGTCCTGGCGCCAGCCGACGCTGGGCACTGCCGACAATGACGCAGTCTCTACCCAGCCCTCAGCCACCGCCTCCATCGCCCCCGACGCCGCAGCGACTGCGGTGCGGGCTGCCTCGGGGCTTGGTCGCTGCCCTGCCAGGGTGAACGTGGCGACACTCTCGCACTCGGCAAAACGGGGGTGTGGCGCAGCCGCTGCCTGCACGGGGTTGACCGCTTCGCCGCTGGAGCTCGCGGCCGCGCCCCTGTCGATCGCCCCTGGCGGCGAATGCGGCCCGCTGGGGTCGCTGCCGAGGCTGCAGCCTCGCTGCATGGCCGCAAACGGGTTGAAGCCACCGCCATCCATGGAGCTGGGGGAGGCGCAGTGCCGCCGGCCTGTGGCCTTACTATCCCGACAGGCGACGCCGCAGTCGGCGACGAGGGCCGCAAACGGGCCCAAGTCGGATGCACTCGTGAATGCCAGGGCAGTCGCCGCGTCGACCGGCTCGTGCGCGGGCGCCGCCGGGAGCGCCGCGGCTTCCATGAGCTTCGCGGCGGCAGACAAAGAGCCGCTGCACGGGCGCGCCCGCGCGAAGGGGCCGCCGGGCCCGCTCACGGCTTCACCCAGCACGTCCCCCGCGCCTGGCACCTCCGACACCGCCGCCGCCGCCGCGGCCGCCGTCGCCGCTGTCACTGCCGTCGCGGCTGTCGCCGCGGCAGCGGCGGCCTCTGGGCCGCTGGGACGCGCGGCTGTGGGTGCGCCGCCCCCATTCTCCCCACGGATCGCAGCAACCACCTGCCCCGTCACATCCGCCAAAAACGGGGTCCAGCCGCCAAAGAGCGGTCGCACCACGCGCGCAGGCTCCGTCTCCGCCGCGGTTTTCGCGCAAGAGTCTGCGCCCACTGGTGCAGACTCGCCCTCGACCGCTGCAGCGGGCGCCCCTGGTGGCGCCTCACGTTCTTTGGGAGGCTCAGCAGAGTGCCACAAGGTTTCGGCCGCCGAGGCCGGCTCACCCACCACCCCTGCCACTGCAGGCCCTTCGACCCCAGGGTGGCCGGCGGCCGCAACCGCAACCCCTCCCAGCCCCTCTCTGCGCCCGCCACGGGGCGGCGGGCTGCCGCTGCCGCCGCCCGCCGCCGGCGGCGGCGTCTGCGGCCTGGGGGCTTCCGCGGCCGCGTTGGGCGGGCCGCCGCCGGCAATGTCATCTGCTGCGGCGATGATGTCAGCAGCTGGTGAGGCCCCGAAGATCATCAGGTCTTGCTCCGCCTTTGAAACCTTGGCCCACTCCTGCGTTTGTGCAGCAAAGCACCAGGGAATCAGTCAGTATGCAGTGACGAGCGAACGCGGCACGGGCGCAATCAGACAGTGCTATGATTGCGGCTGCAAGAAGGATGTCACACTGGCAGCAGCTTAAGACAAGTGGGGGGCGCTTGCACTCAACTACATCCGTAGTCAGGCACGCGGTGGCAGGCAAGGGAAACACTGAAAGAGGGACCAGGAGCGGTCACGTCAAAAGCATCACCCAACAGTTAATGCCATCGCTGCAGTCCACGATCTGTGCGGGCGCAGACGCACTCGAGCATCAGCATTATGGGTGGCACCGGCTCAGGTTGGGATGGGGGGCTGCGCACCTTTTGCTGCTTCTCCAGCAGGGCGGTCACCCGCTTAAACGTGGGCCTCTTGGATGGGTCCGGGTCCCAGCAGGCCTGAGGGAGGTGACGGGGTGAAGGGTGGGGTGGGGAGGACAGAGTTGTTGATTGTTTGACAGCGGGCATGCAGCGGGCTTGCGCATCAGCACGTGCGCGACGGGGCGGCAGTCACGGCGCTCGTGTTTGTCTTATATGGTCTATGTGTGTAAGGAAGGGGGGTGCGCAAAAAGAGAAATATCAGGATCCCCCGGCTAAAAATGTCCAACTCTCGGAGGCGAGCCTTGGCTGGCGCGACCAGAAGAGCAGGTGTCGCCAGGCCCCTTACGCTCCCCCGCTGAACCCCATCCAAGTTCACCGCATGCAACCGTGGTGACGCAAGGTGACATCACCACGGCCACCCACCGTCATGAGCTGCTTGTACTGCTCCAGGTGACGGCCGCGGGGCGCCAGGGGAAGCTGCTCGTCGGGCGGCAGCTGCGGTACCTCCGGGGTCACTCCGACGAAGTTAGAATCCTGAATCCGCTTAGCAATGCACACCTGGCAAGGGGGATGACATGCACGTGGAGGGAGAGTTGGTGAGAGCTCGTAGGCAGCGCAGGGCCTGCAGGGGGTCTGTTGAGGCTGCTCAGAGGCAGATGCAGGGCAGCGCAGGAGGGGAGGGAGCAACGGGGCCAGGCACAGCTGGGGTTGCAGCGTCCAGCCCGAGACGCTCTTTTGTGTGGGGACCGCCGAGCAGGGGGGTCAGGGCATGCGGCTGATGCGGGCGCCTCACCGTGCCGTCGTTGCAGTTGTGGTAGGGCATAGTCCATGTCAGCATCTGTTGACGAGGGGATAGTGGCATGCGTTTTTTGTTGGTGTGGGCGTGTGTGTGCATGTTTGCATCCGTGTGCGCGCGCATGTGTGACTGTTCGGGTCTGTATATGTGCACATGTCCCTTCGGTGTGCACATGTCCCTGCGCACGTGTGTGTCAAAACGCAAGCAAACACGAGACCGCCTGGTCGAAACAAGCTGGGTAATCATGACTGCGGCACAATGCGTATGCTTGGATCTAGCCCCTGCTTCGTCTGATTACTGGAGCTAGGGCCTCATGGGGGGCAACTCTTGTTCCTTGGGTCACCCAGGTCTGGCTGGCTTGAGGGACTCCGGGGGGATCAAGAACTGGAGCCCTGCAAAACATGCGGACTCGACGCGATACAACCACCCACGCGCCCGCCGTCCGTCACGCCGCCCACCTCGTACATGATGATCGCAAAGCTGTACACGTCAGACGCCTTTGATATGCGGCGGGTGTGCATCGCCTCTGGCGCGACCCAGCGCGGGTTGGTCGTGACTTTCACGGACACCTGGGGGCAAAGGGTGCGGGTGAGCGAGGGCGGAGCCACGTCAGGTGGAGGCCGCTGTCGGTGCATGATGGAAACAGGGAAAATGGGATGCACTCATGGCTTGGCGCATACTCTGTTGCTGGGTTGAAGGGTGTCGAGACTCCGGGCGTTGTGTGACCGCAGCTCCATGGCTTGTGCCTGGCCGTTTGCGCTGCCTTTGGGCAACCTGCGCGACTCTCCCCCTCCCTTCTCCCCCCCACACACACGCATACACACAAACACAAACACATGCATACACACACACACACACGCACCTCCTGGGCGCCCTGCGGCAGGGTCTCGCCGAAGCCAAAGTCTGCGACCACCAGCTTCCCGTGGCTGTCCACGAACAGGTTGGGGGAGCGCAGGTCCCCGTGAAGCACCCCCTGGGAGTGGACAAACCTGTAGGTTTTTGCCGGTAGGGGTGTGGGTGGGTGTTGCAGGAGGGGGGGGGGCGATTGCACAGTGCAGTCATCTGCGGCGGGGGGTGCGCGATCGGGGCCGCGGCGGGAGGTGCGCGCTTGGGGTCACGGCTGGGGTGCAGACGACCCGTGTTCACAAGTGGCCGTGTGGTCGCGCCGTTTTGAGAGGTCCCCGTCTGTCGTGGGGGACGGAATTGCTGCGCATGGCAGAGGGGGCCCTGGTGGGGCGTTTGGGGTCGGCGGCGAGGCGTGGCGGGCTGGCCCTGGAAAAACTGAAGCCCTCAACCCTGGATGGCTCACATCATGGCGGCTGCGACGTTGTGCAGCATCTTGAGGCGCCCCGCCCAGCTCAGATCCCGCAGCTCTCTCAGGGCCTCCTGCTCGTGCGCGTGTGTATTGTATGTGTGTATGTGTGCGTTTGTGTGTTTGGGGGCAGGAGGGGCAGGCGTACCTGTGTCTTTAGCGCAGTGTAGGTTCATGCATGCCAGCGTCATCACTGTCACACCGAGGCGCTCAGTGTTTTGAGTACAACCGACGATCACAACCGCAGCCGCGCTGATAGGGTCTCAGCGCCAGCCGCTGACCCCCCAAAACGACAAGACGGCCACCGCCCCAGCCGCCCCAGCCGCCCCAGTCGCCCCAGCCGCCCCAGTCGCCCCAGCCGCCCCAGCCGCGGGCCCCCTTACCTCCTTGCGGGCGGGCGGTGCCAGGTCCAGCCGCGACTTCGCCTTTAACAGCAGCTGGTGCGCTGATCCCTTCTCGTAATACTGCGTCACCACCAGGGGCTTCAAATTGCCCTTGCGCAGGCACACGCCGCTGGCAAATGACATGGGCGAATCAGCGGGACGGAATGGCGTGAGGTAGTTTGAGTGGGAATGGAGAAAGTATGGGTGCATGTGGGAAGGGGAGTGGGCGCTGCACTCAAGGCGAGCCAAGAGTACGCATTTGTGGGTGCTTAGCCCATGCCAATGACGTTCCGCCACACTCAGAGTGGCCCGTTGTGGCGAGCCACGGGTGATTAGTGGGCCTGCGTGCTGGCTGGCTGCGGCCCGCCCAAGCTGAGCATGTGCTATCGGCTGCGGTTGCACTTGCTGCATCGGCCTTCGGGAGCCTTCGCTGCGGGCCCCACATGTGGCTGTTGCTCTCTGCAGTTGCGCGCACCAGAAGTGCACCACGTTTGGGTGGTTTGTGAGGTCAGCCAGCATCCTGATCTCTTTGAACAGAGACTCCTGGGGGTTGTAAGTGGGGTG